AATTTTCTGAAAATATAAGAAATTTATAATGCTTTCTTTGGGTAAAAGACTATAACTTTTATACTTTACAGTACTTAAAAAAAAATCTATTGGCTTATCTGCCTGGTGAGATTGTCCAATTGTTTGTTTTTGTCTTTATACTTTCCAGTATTAAAATGAAATAAAACAATTGCAAAGTTAATAAATTCTATTAACTTTTATTTAAACAAATTTAAGAAAACCAGGTTATTACCTTGTTCGATACGACTAGCCAGGTAGAGCATCTCTCCCTGAGCAGCCAATTGGTGAACAGATAAAGCTGAAAGAAAACCATAAAGTTTTTAAAAATTACTTTTATTGGGTAACTTTGGTTTAGTGGTATAGGTTTGCACCTCTTCATATGTAGGCTATCAGACCCCGCCTACCGCCAAAGCACCAATAATACTCCACCATACTCCATTGAGCCCTACCCAACCCTTGCACCTCATCCTCCTACACTCCTCTTTGGTTGCCTCAGTTCTGCAGTCAGATTGCAATGGTTTATTTTGTCATAATCATAATAAGTTGTATATTTGTAGGGTACACGTTCATCATCTCATTGCTCATTTTTGTGCAGTAATTATCTTTAAAAAAAAAACAACTATAAAATAAAACTATAAAGGTTTTAGAATTAACATTTCAATCTTTATTTGTTCTTAAGGGAAATATTTGAATATGTAATATTTCTAGACACAGTTCTAAATTACTAAAACTATCATCACATCACTTATCTTCAAAAACAGAACATGCATGAAACATTAATGAAAATAATGTTTCAAAGCCAAATTCTTGAAACCATTATATTTGTAATGAGAATATTTTTATCTGTCAATGGGAAATACTTACAATTTGCTAACAGTGGTGTGGTTGAGACCTCATTTCCTCTATGTTTGTTGGTTAAAGTAGTTGACTGCTTTATGGGTGAGAAGTGCTTTGTTGTAGAGGGAGTGTAGACATGCCTTACTTGAATGCCAGGAGAAGGAGATGTATGGATGTTGCATTCAGCTAGTTAAGACAGATTGAAACAGTATTTTAATGACAAAGCATCTCAAAGTTCTATGTAAGTGCTTACATAAAGAAATACATGACGTATAATATCTTAAGCTGTTCCTTAAGTGATACTAAGTTTTCTTGGTCAGAAAGTCTACACTACCATAGTGAAAGTTCTAGAAAAATAAGGTATTACTCGAGCAATTTTACTAGCAGATTAGTTTTTTATTCAATAGATTGTTACAGATTTCAGTGTGTCAAAGCGTTGGAAGGTAATTCCAACCAAATATTCATGGTGTAGGGAATATTAATTTGTTTCTAAAAGATACAAGTAATTTTTTCTCTTATGATTTTAAAAGCACAATAAAAAACTTGTAGAATTTGTAATATGTAAAGAAACATACGTTAAGCAAGAACTTTAAAAAAAATCAAGATGTACTTATGGACATTATATGACATGAAATTATTAATTTTTATTTCTGTGTAATTCTAGAAAATAAAAAGATGAATTTTCCAAACTTTCTAAACTCAAAAATCTCATGATCAGAAAGGAAAAAGTACCACATAAAAACAAAACAAATGCAGATATTTATACCATAACTTTCAACCTTTAAATAGGACAGATGCCACCTCCAGGTCCGAGTTAACTTGATCTTGAATATTCTTACTATCCTCTTCATTTAAGGACTTCACAAATCGAGAACACACATTCATATCAAATCGGTTAGGCAATATGAACTTCATTCCCATGGCAACACCCTGAGCTGATCCTTCTTCTGCATTTGAGTCCAGTGGATGTTCTATTTTAATGTCTGGCATTCCCGTTAGACTGTAACTGCTGGGACACTCTTCCACCTTTAGTGGAGCTCCAATATCTAGATTTGCTGATGTAGCCATGATTTCAACTGTAGTTTCAATAATTAAAATATTTCTTCATGATTTTCTCTTAGTTTTATAAGAGTAGTATCCAGTATACTCTTGGAATTTGGATAGTAATTCTGAAAGAATAAAATTTAAATTATATTAACTTATGTAAAAGTACAAAAAATGATAATTTTCAATCACATATGCAAATAGTGCTCTTACAAGTGCTTAAAATAGAGAGGATACTATGTTCAGGGGTAGAGAAACCTGGATATTAATCAAGCTTCACTATTTATTAGCTGTGTGAACCTGTGTAAGTCACTCAAACTCTCTAAGCCTCAGTCTCATTTGTAAAAACAGGGCAAAACCATTAACTTTACAGATTTTGGTAAAAACTAAGATGAAATATTGAGGTAAATAAATAAGATATAATAGTGTACTTCTGCTGAATTCTCTCATCTTCTACTGTAACTATGTATGTATGTATAATCAATAAATCTAACTAAGATGAAATATATATATTCTCACTTCCATTACTAGGTTCCAACAAATTTTATTGATGTTATCCTTTTCTCCCCCCCCTTTTTTTTTTAAGATTTATTTATGCATACAAGAGCTGGGGTACAGGCCAGAGGTATGGGGGTGGGTGGGTGAGAGGATTCACCAGAGACAGAGTGGGGAACAGAACAGGCAGACTGACTGAAGTACACTGCTGAGGGGAGCAGGAGGCGAGGAGAGGTCTGCTGTGCCATGTGGGTTGCTCCCTGGCCTGCCCCAGGATCGAAATCATGCTGTAGAGGCCGAGGACAGCTTTAGGGGTTGCGTCTTAACCCCTGTGCCACCAGGGAGGCCCTTCTCCCCCTTTCTATTCCTGAATATTGCCAAATTGATAAAAGATTCATTTTATATTAATGAAAATAAACTTTTGCATTAACACTTAAACTTTTTTTTTTTAATGCAGTATTTATAAGCAGCCATACAACTCATGTCATACCCAATTCTATTAGAATCTATAACACCCATGATCCCTGGATAGCAAAGGGTTTTACAAAGCTTTGGTTATGATGAACTGAAGTTATATTTATCAGTTTTATTCAGATCAAGTATTGACAACTTATTATAGGTTCTTATGTAAAATAAAGCATGTAGATTATAGATTGGCTTTTGCCTTAGCAGCTGTAGGATATTAGGGTCAAAGTATAATTCTTGGATCTCAATCACTATAATAAGTATTAAGAAATAAGAATTACTGATTTTTTTTTTCAAATACAGGTTTCTCCTGGTATCTAAAAATAGAATATTCCTATTTGACATGATTTGGTAGGTTATTTTTTGAGCTGTGAACCTTATTACTACAAATTTATATGGAAAACAATTTGTATATTCCCAGACAAAAATCATGCCAAATAGAAACAATCTACTTTCAACATTAAGACATAAACTCAATAAATGCCAATTTTCATCTGTTATTGAATCATTTAATATTGTTTTTAAATGAGTTTTCAGTAATTGCTGGCACGTTTCTATGGATCTTAATATTATTTTAAGAGAAATTTCATTATTGTACCTAAAATTGCTTCTAAAAAGTGAAGAACTCAAGATATATAATTGCCCTAGATTATATAATCACTGAGAAAGAGAAAAAATGAACAATTAGTTAAATTCTCATGGGCTTACTGTCTTCAGAAATTTTGAGAGGATACAAGGTGTTTTAAAATTGGAATTAAGAGAGAAAAATGTGTATCACAGTGGAGCCGAGGTTGGCAAATCATACATATATAGAGTACCACCACTTCCAGTTTTAAGACATTTCCTAAGGTTGATTATGACAGCAGTCCTTTGAGTAGTCAGGACAGGTAATCATTATCCACCACAGAGAAGAGAAAAAAGAAATGCAGGAGTTTTGAGGTAACTATCCAGCTCTTCTAAGCCCATCACCCACTCCATTAAAATAGGAAGTACTAAACTAACCCCAAAGTTCCATGTAGTAGAAAGTAAAAAGAAATAACAACAAAAAGAAACAGGTAACAAAGTTAATACAAGTTAGCAAAAGAAGAGAAAGAAACTAGAACAGAGAATGAGTTCAGTGATGCAAATGGAGGTGCAATGCAGGGTCTTTCCAGCTCTAGAGAACTTCCATGCTGTATAAATCAGGGTTTACAGGTGGCGTTACCGGTCGTTGAGGGGAGAATGAAAACATACTTGCGGACGAAGGGCGGAAAAATAACAATCATACTTGGGTGGAGATGGCGGAAATAGAACACTTATCTCGGCACTCTTCTAGAGAGAAGCAAAGTTGGCTGGCTCAACCAAATTTTTCGAGGACTTAAGAGGCAGGGGGATAATAGCTGCCGAGGAGGCGGTGAGAACAAGAGGTAAGACTAAGGAAGGACTGCCAGTTTCACCACGACGTGAAGGAAGAGAGAGCATAACGAGATAAAGCGGGAAACTGTGCCAGGGCCCAGTGGATGCAAACAGCCGGGGTCCCTGGGTTCTCCCTAATCCTGGAATTTTTTTGCAAGGACAGGAAGGTGCTAGGAAAATGAATGATGCCTCACAGGCGACAGGAGTCCCAGGACAGGAGCCCGCTGGAGGGAGGGTGCGGCAGAGGGAAAGTCCGCTCTGGCGCCACCCGCCAGCTCCGTCCGACAGTCCCAGCGCCGGGCAGGTATGGCAGAGGAAACTAGGGCTCACCCGCGGCGGGCGGGCCCCGGGCATCCGGGCCGAAAGGCGACACGAAGAGAGCGCTGGCCTCGCGACCACTTTCGACAGCCAAGAGTGAGTCGGGTCTTTCCATCTGCGGCCACAGATGCCCTAGAGGCCCCCAAATCGAGGCTTGTTTTGGCCACGACGTCACTTCCGATTTCTTCTTTCGCTTTCTGGCCTAAAACTGTTCCGCTTCATTGCAGCCGAGCGAACCTCCCGGTTTCTTTCCCCGTCGCTGCACAGCGCTGTCTTTACTACCGGAGTATTACGGAGACAGGGTCGTTGGGCAGAGCAGAGGCCCCGGGTCACTGGAGCGAGACCACAGGCTCAGCCTCCGGCCACGCCTCCTCCGCCCCTTCGCCCCGCCCATCTGACCTCCCCCTGCGTCACCGGACGGCGCGGGCCTCGTAAGCCTGCGCCTTCGCGTCATCTTCGCGCGACCCGCCTGGCCGTTCCATTTACCCGGTGGCTCCGCGCCTCCCTGTAGGGTCCTCGTGACTTCTGCAAGTGATACTGAATGGCTTAAGGGAGGGAACTGGAGGAACCCAAGCAGTTCTCCTCGGAGCTGAGGAGTCTCGGCGGACCCTCGGAGCCATTGGAGGTAGGTGATGGCAGCTCCCTTTAGGGTAGCCCCGACGCTCGTCGGGCCTTTCTTGCTATCTGGCATGCTGCCCGGGGGCATCTCAGTTTCCGCAGATTGGCTCAACTTCTTAACCAGCCTGCCAGCGTCTCGGCTGTTTGGCTTCGACCTAGATTTTTCTCCGCTACGAGCTCACCCTCCCCTAACTGTCTGCCTTTATCAGTTTCCGGAGTAATCCTCCCCTTTCCAAAGCGGTGGACAGTTCCATTTCTGTCTTATGAGGTTCCTTCAATTTTGAATGCTCCCGCCCCCTCTTTTGCGTGCATCTTCAGTGGCGAATCTGTCATAATATATTAAAGACTCAGCTGAAGTGGACACTTGGAATCTCTCCAGGAGTCCCCCAGTTAGAATTAATGAAACCACTTCTCAGCTCTCAGTACTTAAGGTTTTTTGATATCCTACATTGTATTGTAATACCTGTTATTCTTTTAGTCCTAGGTTTTCAGGCACAGACCTCTTTCCGATAATTTTCTTTTTCACATGATTTCTTGCCTCCATGCCTTTGGGCTGTATCGTACTCCCCCTTACCCTCCCCAAATGCTCTTCCTCACTTTAATCTGGCAAAACGCTGCTACTGCGCCTCGCTTCTTTCTACTCGTTTTAAACTGTTCCTTTGAAGGCAGAGTTAGGTACTCCTTCAGCTATACTCTAATAAGGCACGAAGGCCCATATGCTTTTGTTGACTCCTATGTCAATATTCATATTATAGACAGCATTTTTTATTTTAAATTGGTGTTTTTCCCACAGAACCCAGCACAGTGCTTTCTACCTATGGTAGTCCTATCTTATTCCTCTTGCTTCCTTTAGATTGTGTCTTCTGTGTTTACAGATTTAATAGTTTAATGGTTATTAATCTGTAAGTTACCTCAGAAACTTTTCAAAGAATGCAGAGTGGAAATCATAATTATATATAGATTTGTGTAATGTATATAAAATATTGAGTAATGTATATAAAATATTTTCTTTTTCAGATTTATGCAGAGTCATTATAATTATTTTTAATCTCAATTCCAAAGGATTAACCACTGGACAACAGTGCAATTATATGAAATTATGGCTGGTTATAAGCCTGTAGCTATTCAAGCATATCCTGTACTTGGTGAAAAGATCACACAAGATACGCTGTACTGGAACAACTATAAGGTAAGTTTGTCAATCATGGGGTGAGGGGGCATTTGCATTTATGACAATGTGGAACTCTAATGAAAACTAATAACTAAAATTAATCTATCAGCAACTTACAGTTTGGGCAGATCAGTTGATAGTTAATATTTTTTTCTAGGAATTTTATAGAAAAGTCCATATTGCTTAATCAGTTTAAGTTTAGAATTTTGATTAATTAATGAATTTTATAATTTGAATCTCATGCAAGAAGTTTTTTATTTTTTTTAAGATTTATTTCTTTATACAAGAACTGGGGTACAGTCAGAGGTGCCGAAGGGTGAGGGAATTCACCAGAGACAGTGGGGAGCAGAACAGTCAGACAGACTGAAGACACTGCTGAGGGGAGCAGCAGGCAAGACAGGAGAGGTATGCTGTGCCATGTGGGTTTCTCCCTGGCTGGCCGCGAATCGAACCCGTGCTCCAGAGGCTGCAGACAGCTTCACATTGCAGCGCTCAACCCACTGTGTCACCGGGGAGGCCCTACAAGAAGATGTTTTTGCCTTAACCTAAGGAAATAGGGCCTCCCTGGTGGCGTAGGCGGTTGAGCTCAGAGCTGTGAGGCTGTCCGCAGCCTCAGCAGCGGTGGTTCGGTCCCGGCCGGCCAGCGAGGGTCCCATGAGTCGCAGCAGACCTCTCCTGTCTTGCCCAATACTCCCCTCAGCAGTGTATTTCGTCATTCTGCCTGTTCTGTTCCCCAGTCTGTCTCTGGTAAAGCCTCCCACCCTCCCGCGCATCTGGCCTATACCCTGGTTCTTGTATAAAGAAATAAATCTTAAAAAAAAAAAAAAAAAACAACCTAAGGAAATAGTGATGCAAAATTCTTACTGCTAAATTAGCTTACAAATGAGTTTTTTAAAAAGATGAATAAGTAGAAAATGTGAAAAAATTGTGAGGTTTATGGAAAAAAGTTTTTTTTTTAAAAAGATTATGGTTTTTCTTTAGCTGTTTTTTTTTTTTTTAAAGATTTTATTTTATTTATACAAGCACTGGGGTACAGTCAGAAGTGGGGGAGGGTGAGCGAATTCACCAGAGCTAGAGCGGAGAGCAGAACAGGCAGACTGACGAAGTACACTGCTGAGGGGAGCAGCGGGCGGCAGGAGAGGTCTGCGCACCATGTGGGACCCTCGCTGGTGGCCGGGGATTGAACCAGCGTTGCAGAGGCTGCGGGCAGCTTCGCAGCCCACGCTCAACCGCTGCGCCACCGGGGAGGCCCTGGAAAAAAAGTTTTAATGGCCAATAAATGTATTACGAGACTCAACTTCACTCATAATTGAAGAAATGCAAATTAAGTAAAATTAGATATTGTTTTTCATTTATTATACTGGCACACATGAAAAATTTTGATCATCATTGCTACTCGAGGAAGGGAAATTACTATAAACTTTTTGGAGAGCAATTTGGCATTATCTGACATAAAACAATGTACACAACTTTTGGCTTTCTAGTCTCACAGCCTGGAACTTTCTCAATAAATATACTCCTGAAAGTTTGCTAACATGATTGATAACAAAATGTGTGTGTGTGTGTGTGTGTGTGTATGTATGTGTATAAAATCAATGTATGTATATTTATGTTATATAAACATTCATTGAAATCTTATTTGTAATGTTAGAAATCTTAGAAGAACCTGTGTTTATTAATAGTGAACTGGTGGAGTAAATTATGATGGATGTTGTGGATGTTACATTTGTAGCTTACCTGAAAAGTTAGCTAATGTGCTAGTAAGTAATAGAAAGCAAGATATATAATGACCTGCATAGTATGCTGTGTGTTCAAAATATACATGGTTAAATGTGTGTGGGTATAACTTCTTTTTTCTAGTCATAATCACAGGAAACTCAACAGCTGAACAAAAAGAGTGAGGTGACTTTCTGAACATATATTATTTTACATTAATGGGAATAGAGATAGTCTGGGTGACAGGACTTGGGCAATTTTTTGATTTCTTTATACCTTTGTATTAAATACAGTCTAGTAAATGTTACTAAGAACAAAAAGAAATGGTCTGTAAGAAATTATGTAATGCTTAAATAGGTGTTGGTGTTCCCACTTGTAACTCTGTTAATCCTTTATATTGTTTTTCATTAAGACCCCTGTTCAGATTAAGGAGTTTGGCGCAGTGTCAAAAGTAGACTTTTCTTCACAGCCACCATATAATTATGCTGTTACAGCTTCTTCAAGGGTAACTATAATACTGCATTCCTTATTTTTTTATATAGTTTATATTTACTACTGATCTTGAGGCATCTGTTGAGTTACCATGTTTTTTATCTTGTAGATTCACATTTATGGCAGATACTCCCAAGAACCTGTAAAAACCTTTTCTCGATTTAAAGACACAGCATACTGTGCTACTTTTCGACAGGACGGTAAACTGCTTGTGGCTGGCAGTGAAGATGGTGGAGTTCATCTTTTTGATATAAGTGGAAGGGCTCCCCTTAGGCAGTTTGAAGGACATACAAAGTAAGCAACAGTTGGTTTTTATGTGTCCTTTTTGTTTTTTTGGTGTAATCTAAGCTGTATTCATTTTCTAGGCTTTGAGTAAAAGCAGAGAATTTAAAAAAAAAAAAAATTCATGAATATTATGTAACTTCAGGTACTTTTCCCCTGGTGGGCCTATGGCAGAGCTTAACCTAGGTCCCATGGTTGAGTTTCATGCGACTTGTGAATCCCCTAGAATTGTGTGTGACATTTTGGGAAATGTGCATTTATCTAGGGAGACATCCTGCAGCTTTCATTAACTTCTCACTGAGTTCTGTGACCTGGTTGAGATTATAAACACTGGTCTAATGGCAACTATTAGACTAACTACTAATGAGAATTATGTAGGCCTGGACTATATTTGAGGTTGGAAGCTAGATTCTCTTCTTGGATTTAGTACTTTGCCCTTTGGTAAATTGAATGGCTAGGGCAGTTTATATTACAGCTTTGTTGCAGGATTCCCTGAATTATTTAAATTATTCAGAGTAACTTTGTATTCAGTCTTATAAATGTCTTTGTGAAAATTGGGTACTGATTTTAAAATCTCAAGTGTTTTTATAATGTGTTAACGGGGTAGTTACCTATCAGTGAAACATTTCACTTTGATTGTATTAGAACATTCATCTTAATTAAACAGCTAGAATTGTAAGTAGAATTGCTAACATATTAGAAAATAAAGTTGTAAAGCTATTGTTTAATATTCTTATTACTTTCATAGTGTGGGGTTATTTAAAATTTTAAGTTGGCTTGGGGACAAACACCTGTTTTAAAGGTTTTTTTGGTCATGACTTTCCCCTGTAGTTATGCTCAGAAACTGAGCTTTTTTTGGGGGGGGCGGGCAGGAGGAGAGGAGTTGGAAGATGTCAGAAATACAATTTTTTCTTACTTTTTAATATACTGATCCTTGATCTTTCAGAGCAGTTCATACAGTAGATTTTACAGCTGACAAATACCATGTGGTTTCTGGGGCTGATGATTATACAGTTAAATTGTGGGATATTCCAAACTCCAAAGAAATTCTGACATTCAAAGAACATTCTGATTATGTGAGGTGTGGATGTGCTAGCAAATTGAATCCGGATCTCTTTGTAACAGGTTGGTAAACTCCTTTTTTTCCTCTCATGAAGTTGATTATTTTATTATGAAATATTTTAATACTGCTTTGGGACTTTTTGGATAGACTTTTTAGGAGTTAAAATTTTTATGAAGGAATATGTTTCTGTTTATCCTATTCAAAAATTTTTTTTCTTCTTTTGTTGATTGTTTTTATTGTCTTCCAAATGTGTTTGGAACATCAGGCTGCGTTGAAAACTGTCAGTACCTTCGTGAGTTTAGTGGTCTGGTTTTTGCAGAGTCTTCAGCAACCAAGAAACAGAGACAGTGGGGTTCATGTTCTTTGTGGGTGCCTGTGCAAAGATTCCCAGATGACTCAGTAGTGACAGTAGTCTGAAAATAGAAATAGTTGAAGATTCTGTAGTATAGTATGGTGGGTTTGAAGGTACTGTATCTTCATGAATTTACAAAAATTTAAAATTTTTATCTACATCTTTTAATATTTATCTGAATACTGACACACACATTTTTGTTGTTTTGAGCAGTGAAACTTACATAATGCCCAATTTGACATTTTAGGATCATATGATCATACTGTGAAGATGTTTGATGCACGAGCAAATGAGAGTGTTATCTCTGTAGAGCATGGACAGCCAGTGGAGAGTGTCTTGCTTTTTCCTTCTGGAGGTCTTCTGGTGTCAGCAGGTATTTCTTTTGAAAATTACTTTCACCAATGTTGTTGATCTTGAGTTATTTCATTATTAGTTACTTGCTATAATTTTATCATGTACACTTGAATTGCATATGTGAGTTTTTGCTAGGTTGATAATTGGGACAGGCAAATAGTTATCTCTTATTGAGTATCTGATGTAAGTCAGCTGTGCTGTTACATGCATATTATCTCTAATGCTCTAGGTAAAGCTACAAGGTAGGTAATTTTCTCCCTATGTTACAACTTACTATGTTGCAACTAAGAAAATAAGTTTTAACTAATTTGTCCAAGGCACAGTGTTAAGTGACAAATCTGAAATCCCAGACCTGAGGGCCTACATTATACACTAAACTCTCCTCCATCTTCTTTGATCCCAGAAATCCTAAAAGATCTACAGTAGCTTTTGAAAAATAGTTTCTTTTAGATCAAAAATGGGCTTTTCTCAAATCATTTGATTAAGATGGCCTTTCCCGGCAAGTTGCCAATAGTCTGGAGGAGGGATAATGTGGAGTCAAGCAGGGCCTTGATACATTTCTCTTCAAATTGAAACTGGAGTGTTTTTTGTTGTGTTGATCACAGTGTATTATTAGAATTTTAATGGAAGAAATAAATTTGTTGAAATAGTCCAAATTAATGTGTTGACATTAGGAGAATGTATAGGTAGGTTGTGTGCATGTTTGATAGTATATATAAGGCTGTGGGTATAGCTTCTTTTTAATTCTAAAATCTGAATAGAATTACCCTGTTTCATTTTCTATTCCCTAGTACCTTTTTGCTTTAAAAATACATTGATAAATTGTCAGATGTGTTCATTTTTCTTGCTGTTATTTTGAGAAGTGGAAATAAATTCAATCTGAACAGGGAGAATGGAAACCTTTTTGCTAATCTGCAGTGTGCTACTAGCTAATCCTGTGACCTTATTCAACCTCTTAATTTCTAAAGACCTTGCAAGTGCACTATTGGTTTAGATCAGTGGTTTCAAGTTGGTTTAGATCAGTGGTTTCAAAGTGTATCTTAGGAGCTACCATATGTGGGGAGACAGGGACGGTAAAGTCAGTTCCAGGCCCTGTTTCTAGTCAAGATAGATAAAAACTTCTCTCCCCTGCTTCCCCTTGTCCTACTTTACCTGCTAGCCTTTTGCTTAATTTTTTTTTTGCAAATAAGGATGCTGTATTAAAAAAATTCTTTTTTTTTTTTTTTAAGATTTATTTATTTATACAAGAACTAGGGCTACAGGCCAGAGGTGCAGGAGGGTGAGAGAATTCACCAGAGATAGAGCAGGGAGCAGAACAGGCAGATGGACCAAAGATGCTGCTGAGGGGAGCAGCGGGCGAGGCAAGAGAGGTGTGCTGCGCCATTTAGGTTTCTCCCTGGCTGCAGAGGCTGCAGACAGCTTCACAGCACAGTGCTCAACCCGCTGCGCCACCAGGGAGGCCCTAAAGAAATTCTTTTTTAAGCATCAGATTGAATTACTTCTAAGGATCCTTCTAATTTAGAGTAAAATTTTTAGGGAAGTTTTTCAGGTTTGTTGGGATTCGCAGAATTTTTAGGAAAGGAAATCTATATTTTTCATTTCCATGGCTATACAAAATACCTTTTAAAGAATGATTTTATCATAAATTTCTTTAAAAAAATCCTTTTCAGGGCCTCCCTGGTGGTGCAGGTGGTTAAGTGCCGCACTCTGAAGCTGTCCGCAGCTTCTGCAGTGTCACGGTTCGATCCCTGCTGGCCTCGGAGCAACCCACATGGCGAGCAGACCTCTCCTGTCTCTCCTGCTGCTCCCTCAGCAGTGTATTTCATCAGTCTGCCTGTTCTGTTCCCCACTCTGTCTCTGGTGAATCCTCTCACCCTCCCACGCATCTGGCCTGTACCCTGGTTCTTGTATAAAAATAAATAAATCTTTAAAAAAATAAAAAAAAATCCTTTTCAGATATACTTTTACTCTGCAGGGCATTTCTGTATGAAATATGAAATTATTTAATCATTGTAACAGTTCTGGGGAAGGAATGGTTTTTATTTTTAGTTATTTACCTATTAAAGAGTACAACTTTATTTGAAACCAGCAGTCTGGCTCTGGAACCTCTTACTTAACTTCCTTGCTGTGGAGTGTCCAATGATGAATGCTTTTGAGGTCTTTAAAATTTTGAATCTACAGGCAGAAATCAAACCACCAATTATTTCTTTTTATAGGAGGTCGTTACGTTAAAGTCTGGGACTTGCTGAAAGGAGGACAGTTGCTAGTGTCTTTGAAGAATCATCACAAAACGGTGACGTGTTTATGTCTAAGCACTTCTGGACAGAGATTACTTTCTGGCTCACTGGATAGGTTAGTATTTTCATTTAACTTATTAATCATTAGTATGCAACACCTTGAACAACATTTCGTTATAATGTTAAAAATCGATTCCTGGCTGCATTCACTGTCTGCGTGGACTTTGCAGTTCTCTCCTTATCTGTGTGGGTTTTCTCCAGCCACTCTGGTTTCCTTCTGTATCTCAGAGTTGTGCATCTTAGGATCATTGGTGTGTCTGAATGTCCCAGTTTGAGTGAGTGTGGAGGTGTGTGTGTGAGCCCTTCTGAGCTGGAAGGGCATCCTCTCCAGGATTGGCTCCTGCCTTGTGCCCTGAGCAGTGGGAGTAGTCTCTGTGCACCAAGGCCCTGAACTGGAAGAAGCAGGTTGGAAAATGAATGAATATTGTTGAGTATTAGAAGTATTTTTGGTTTTTATTGAGAAGTTTGGTGATGTTTTTGTGACCAGAAGTCTACTGTACGAGCTTAACTCTTGTTTATATTAACTAGCATATGGTAACATTGGTTTCATTATACAGTTGTTTTGCTTAAAGTCGATTTCCAAGAATCTATCCACAATGTTAAGTGAGAACTTACTATACAAGTGTATACAAGTGTTCAGTGCTTGAGGAAGTGCATTATTTCAGTAGTTTTGGTGACAGAATATTCTGCCAGTTGGTTTCTATGAAAATTTGTTGATTTGAAATTAGTTTTGAGCTTTTGTTTACATATAGCACTTTTCTCCATTGACAGAATTGATTACTTTAATTTACATATACTTTTTAAGGGTTTTTTATTTATTATTTGAATATTAATCTTTTAAAATAATTGTGTATTTTGAAAAGTTTAAGTATAGATATATGGATTCTTGGTTATATTCTTAAAAATTAAAACTCCATGTGAAAATTTCTGTATACTATGTGATCTAAATATTGGTGCGTTTAGATACTTTAAATGGGTGTATTAGTTAATGTTAATGTTTAGTTAGTTAATGTTTTAATTAGTTAATGTTTTAGATTAGCTTGTATGATAGAAATATAATGCAAGCTATATATGTAATTTATTTATTTTTTTTTTAATTTTATAGAGGCATGTTTATTTGTTTATTTGTTTGTTTTGTTTTTGTTTATACATGCACTGGGTACAGTCAGAAGCGTGGGAGGGTGAGAGAATTCACCAGAGCCAGAGCGGGGAGCAGAGCAGGCAGAGGGACCGAAGTACACTGCTGAGGGGAGCAGCGGGCCGCAGGAGAGGTCTGCGTGCCAGGTGGGACCCTCCTCCGGTGGCCGGGGAGCAGCCGGGGATCGAACCGGCGCCTCAGAGGCTGCGGGCAGGTTTGCAACCCAGCGCTTAACTGCTGCGCCACCGGGGAGGCCCTATATATATAATTTAAATGTCTTAGTAGCCACATTAAAAAGGTAAAAAGAGCTAGGTAAAATTAATAATACATAGTTATTTAGTTCAGTATATCTAAATTATTAGTTCAGTATATAAACAATGTAAAAAAATTTTTTTCCTCTAGGAAAAACAAGGTAAACATCAAAGTATCTAATTCAGGCCTATGATACAATATTTTACAATGATTAAATTTAAATACCATTGTGTTTAGCAGAAGAAAGTTGAATTTAAGAGAAAAATATTTTTACTACCTCAGTTAAATAAATTAAAGTTAATTAAAATTAAATAAAATTTAAAAATTTAGTTCTTCATTTTCACTAGCCACATTGTAAATACTTAATTGCCACATATGTCTAGAACAATGGCACAATTATAAAATTTACTTAGAAGTCATCTATTTTTTTTTTTTAAAGATTTATTTATTTACTTTATTTATTTATACAAGCACTGGGTACAGTCAGAAGCGTGGGAGGGTGAGAGAATTCACCAGAGCCAGAAAGGGGAGCAGAGCAGGCAGAAGGACCGAAGTACACTGCTGAGGGGAGCAGCGGGCGGCAGGAGAGGTCTGCGCGCCATGTGGGACCCTCCTCCGGTGGTGGGGAGCAGCCGGGGATTGAACTGGCACTGCAGAGGCTGCGGGCAGCTCCGCAACCCAGCGCTCAACCGCTGCGCCACCGGGGAGGCCCCAGAAGTCATCTATTTTTCAAGCAAAAAATGCGTCATGACTTTTCCAACAACTCAATATTTTCATATTTCCTTTTCCTCCCTTGCTATGAAAAGTCTTAGTTTTCAGCATTTTATTACAAAGTTCAGTGTTTTAAAAACTTCTTAAAATGCTTCTAAGATTAAGGAATTCTATAACTATTTAGCCGATTCTTTGAAATGGTGTTACTGAGCTGTTTGGGACTTGATTTTTAGATGTGTCCCTCGAACACTAAGTGTAAGTAGCCCTATTTTGATTGGTTCTCAACTGGGAGTGAATTTTTTTTGGTGATTTTTCCCAACTAGGGGGTGGGATGTTACTGGCAGGTAGTAGTGAAAGTAAGGTTACTGCTAAACATCCTGCAATGCACAGAACTTCCCACAAAGAATTACCTGACTCAAAATGTCAGTAATGCTGAAGTTAAGAATCCCTGCTCTTTTGATATTCAGGGTACTTTCATTGACAAATTTGCTTTACTTTCAAATTTTATCTTCAAATGATAGTGATTCATAGTCTATCTTATTTCTTTTAAACGTGACTAGCGTAAGTTTTTATACAAACATCATGACTAGTGCTAATAAACAGTTTACTTTTTAAAGAGATTCAGTGATGAATGAATGAGTTTGTAATTAACATTTCTAATCAGTTTTTCTTCACTGTTGTGTAAATTTTAACGTTAATATATTAGATGTTCAAATAATAGAAAATTTGCATTTTATGTACATGGTTTGTGACAAAGCTTTTTATTTTTACTAGGAAGGTGAAGGTATATAGCACAACTTCCTACAAAGTAGTTCACAGTTTTGACTATGCAGCTTCAATTTTAAGTCTTGCACTTGCAGTAAGTACTTTTATCTCTTTTTAAAACTTTCACTAATCTTGCATATTACATTGAAAGTAAAATGGCATTTTAGGGTTAATATTCATGTTTGAATAAATCTTACTTTCGCCACATTAGATAATTGAGTTAAGAAAATTGCTAGAATCTGACTTGTCTCAGTAACAGCTTGAATTTAGATTCCAGTTCTACTCACTGCGTATCTTCAAACTAAATAAGTGCTATGGCTATGGGTATTGTTAACACTAACAGCAGGCCAGGAAGTTTATGAATCTCTCTTTAACACTTTCAGCTCTAGGATTAAATTCTCTGGAAAGGCAAGCCGGCTCTCCAAACAAACAAACATGCAAACAAACAAAATAGGATAGTGAAGGGGACAACAAAATAAGATGATTATCTTCATTGACTGTGCTTTCTGGAATATTCATTGTTTCATGAACCATTGAGGAAAAGGCATTTGAATACATTACATAGAAACTGGATTTGGGAGAGCAAAGCTTAATTGCAAAGTATTTTCTTGGCAGCGTTGTGGAACGTCATACCACTGTGTAATACTTCTTAAGGGAGGATACAGGAAAAAAATATTTTGAATTTCCCAAGATGTCATTAACTTTTTATTATTATGCAAACTTTTCCAGTGATATTTTACAACACATGTAAGTTCTGTCAATATGATAATATCTTAGAGGAAAAATAGCTGCTCTTTTTGTGGAGATCATTGCTAGACAAAGTTTCTGTATCTGCATGGGATTCTTGGTAAAAGTATGGATAAGCAGCACACATATTATGAATGTTATTTTGAAGAAAAATTACTATACATTATGAGCTGGGAATAGACTAACTTATTTTTCTAATTGCTGTTAGCATGAAGATGAGACCATAGTTGTAGGAATGACCAATGGAATACTGAGTGTTAAACATCGGAAATCTGAACCAAAGAAGGATTCTCTTCCTAAGAGAAGAAGGCCTGCATATCGAACCTTTATTAAAGGAAAAAATTACATGAAGCAACGGGTATTTATGTACTTTTGATATTTTTCCGAAAGGTGATATTTATGAGATAGCTCCACCCCTTGACATCACTGGAAAATGTAGTTCATATGGCAGTTAACTTTATTTTGCTCTTGTCTACATCAGCTTTATCTCCAGATTGCTAGATGAAGACGTTACTCATATGTAATGGGGAATAAGGACTACTTTATTTAATGTCCTAAATCATAGTAACCTTGGAGTGCTCTGCCGTATTCAAAGAATTGTCTTTTGCACAATTTCTGACTTGGTCTTTTAACCAACCCTGAGAAAGAGAAGCATCTGTAATGTCTGCTGTATTCACTATCTAAGAGGATTGAGGTATAAAAGAAGTTGTGATTAAGCCAGAATTTCATTATTGGTAATTAGGATTGTTGGGAGTGATTTCTACTAAAGCACATTGCCTGCCATGGAAAGATACTTTAAAGAGTAATTTACGCTCAGAACTGAGATAATCATGTATTGTAACTTAAAATCATAGGATAGTAGCAGCACGTTGATGTTGAAAATGTTATTTCATTTTTATTTAATCTACATAATGGGCATATGAACATTCTCTTGCAGTTCAGGGATACTTTGATATAGAAATACCATTGTGAAAAGATTTACTTTGAATGAAATTATACTGATACTGATTTTTTTCTATGAATTTACTTTTTAAATACAGGATGACATTTTGATCAACAGACCATCAAAGAAATACCTAGAATTATATGACAGGGATCTGAAACATTTTCGGATCTCTAAGGCACTTGACAGAGTCCTTGAGGTAAGTGAGGAACAGTTTCTTTTTTAAAATTAGTTTTAGGTTCACAGCAAAATTGAATGAAAGGTCCAGCGATTTTCCATATTCCCCATCCCTGCACATATGTATCTTCCTCGCCTGTGAATATCCCCCACCAGAGTGGTACATTTGTTACAACTGATGACTCTACTGGGGACACATTTTAAAGAGAATTATTTTATTTCTTACCTTGCATAGTATTACCATGACTCAAAACTATGAAGGTAATAACTTATTTAAAATTGGTAACTGTTAGGGTTTTTTCTTGTGCTGTCTTGTGTGCTTATTAACTCTGAAAATTTTTTCAGCCTAGTTGTACTATAAAGACACCTGAGATTACAGTCTCTATCATAAAGGAGCTAAATCGAAGAGGGGTCCTTGCAAATGCCCTCGCAGGTCGGATGAAAAGGAAATTAGTCGTGTTCTTAATTTTTGATAAGGTATGTTTGTGTCTGTGAAACACTCGTATTTTGCATTTGAAATCCTTTATCTCCAAATGAGAGATGTTGGCTTTTAGCTTGATCTTTATAATGAATCAGTGGAATAATTCAGTAAATCAATTTTAAGGATTTAAAAAAAAATTTCTAAATTTCAGTAAAGAAAATCTTTGCTTTGTAGGAATCTGTCTCAGCCACGATTTGCCCCTGTTTTGATCAATGCTGCTGAAATAATTATTGGTAAGTAGATGTTGAAATGTGAAAAATCCTAGCATGTTTGCAAAAAGTAGAGGTGTCAAATAATGATATAAAATTGAAATTTGAATAGATTGAAGTACCTTATTTTTATCATTTCTCCAGTAAGAATATTCATGGAGAAAATGAACACAGTAATAAAGCTATGCATTTAAAAAATGGAGTAAAATGTTTTTAGTAGTTTGACTTTGTATTGCTGGTAGGGAATTAACATTTTTTCCCCAACCTTCTCTAATGACTTTGACAACTTCAATGGGAAAATGAAAATAAATCAGAACCTCCATCATGTCCTTTTTTGTTTTTTGTTTTTTTTTTAATAATAAATTTTATTTTTATATTCCCCATACAATTGCAACCCCCTTATTTTGACCCCAATCCCTCCCCTCCCACCTTCTACCCCCCATAGAGTGTCTCTGGTTCATAGTTTTTTGTTAATTTTGATTTTCACTTTCCCATAGTTATTCATTTTCCTGGTCCCTCATTTAAGTCTTCTAGATTCCTGCTATGAGTGAGACCATCCGGTATTTTTCTTTTTCTTTCTGGCTTATTTTGCTGAGCATAATCCCTTCCAGCGCCATCCATGTTGCTGCAAATTGCACATCATGTCCTTTTTTGAAATACATCTATTCAAATGGATTATCTGCTTTCTGTAAATCACAAATTAACTGTAAAATAAGCTCACATATTTCACTGTCTTTATATCTAATATTTTTATATTTTTCCTAAATATTGCTGTTCACTTAATTGTATAGGAGGATATTTCTAGTTAATGTATTTCTTTCTTTCTTTTCTAGATATATATCTGCCTGTGATTGGTCAGTCACCTGTAGTTGATAAAAAGTTTTTGGTACTTCAAGGACTTGTAGAAAAAGAGATTGATTACCAAAGAGAGCTTCTTGAAACCTTGGGGATGATGGATATGCTTTTTGCCACTATGACAAGGAAAGAAAGTACTTCTGTGTTGCAGCATGCATCTGATGGATTTCTAGAAAATAAGAAGATAGAATCATAGTGTTTACTACAACTAAACCTAAAAACTCCTAACTTGAAATAGATTTGACTCTATTATTGGAAGGAGAATTTTTTTGATATTGTAAAAACTCTTTTAGAAGCAATTTTATGGAAGAGACCGGAATAATTATGATTGGAAAATAAGTACTTATATTAGACATGGTTTCCATGTAATATTTTGAATTATTTTATGGCACCTTTGGCTGGAAGATCTCATTTGTCCTGGTTATACTGTCTGTCTACCTTGATCATGCTGATAGTAATCTTGATACAGCAAAGTTCTGTATCACCCTGTGGGTAGGCATTCAGAACTCTGGAAGGGGTTTTTCGATTGGGAATTCTGCCAAAGAAACGGGTTTCTTTTTTACTTCTTCCTTCAAAAGAACAACAACAAATCAACAAATGACAGCAAATAAACTCTTCATTTTGATCAGTGCTGTTGGGATTTCCAGGCTCAGCGAAACTTGCCTCCTCTCTGACATTGTTAAATGTCTGAGGCCCCATGCTTCATCTGGTAATAGAACCATCTCTGTTCCAAGTGTGGCCAACTCTGAATATTTCACACCAGATGGACATGTACTCAGAATGTGTTGAGGCAGATTTGATACCTAAAAATCGTGCTATCACAGGTTTTCTTTTCATTTTTTTTAAGCTTAATTCTCTATCAGAATGTGGTTTATAATTGGACCATTTCTCTTCCCCTCAAAATACAGTCTTTTTACCATGTTTTCAACTTGATTCAGGTGAGGGGAATGATAAAGTTTGCATTTCTCTTGCAATAAATAGCCTTTCAGCCTTTTATACATGTTTGGAGCTTATCTTCTAGTTAACCTACCCCTCTGAAAACCATTTTCTCTTATCTGTATTTAAATTTTTTCCCTATTCTTTACAATCATCTTGTGATGAATATCAAGTCCCAGAGTAGCTTGCCTTGAAAAATAGTTTTTTTTTTAATGTGTTCAATGTAAATCATTTTTATAAAGAAATTCCTATTTTCTTTTTGACTTTCAGAGATGTATCAGTTCCTGATGGATTGTCACTGATTAGTGACAGCTAGCACTCTTTCACACTTGCTACCTCTTCTACCTTCCCCCAATTCCTGTTCCACCCCAAGTAGTTAATTACTGTAGGGAAATATGCCGTTAGCTATGGGAAGATCTTGTAGTGGGATTTCCTCTTAAAACTTCAGTTTTATGAATTTAGATATTTTTTAATGTTCTGGTGCAGGCATGTGCTTAAAACAGGGTCTAGTTTCTCTTTTATGACCTGTCTTAAGCATTCACATAGGGCAGTGACTAGTAAGAAACCAGGAGTTTGCTTCCTTGAAGAATTAGGAGGTGATCAGGGCCATCTTGAGAAGGGTTAATTTATAAATAACTTAAAAAAATTTTTTTAAAAAAGATTTTAAAATTTAACTTCATGGTACATTGGTAACTTGAATACTAGTGTATTTTAAATTGAAATCTAAAATTCTAGCTGTTATCAAGACTAAGGTGTGATGGAGTTTTCCCACACATTTGATTCTCACCACAGCCATCCAAGGTTTGTTTCATTTCCATTTGACATTGAATTAACTTTGTGAACTCACTCTTGAAGTCCCCAAGCTGGAGTTCCTCACTATGCCAGCACTCTGAATGACTGCCTGCTGGGGCTAAACTGCCCATTCCCTTTAACAGAACTTCCCTAGTGCTGCAGTTTTCAGATGAAATTTGTAATGATTACAAATTCCCAGAAATGTTAAGAAATAACTCCCATAGCCATCAATACTTTTGTGTTAGGTTTAGTTTTTATATTCATTAGGGCAAACTAATATTTGCTATTTTGAATTTTTAAATAAAGTGAACATATTACGGTATGACATTGGCTTTTGGGATCTAACTTACTGTCTAATACTTTTAGACTAGTGATTATTAGTTAAAAGATATTTTCAAATGTTACTAAGCATGCAAAAATGAAATGGTTCAGAGAATTTGGAAAGTATGTTTAATTTATTACATTGTAGGGATTAAGTACTTGGGAATTTTTGCTTGTAGGGGCAAGCATTTGAAGTGCTGTGTAAAAGAAAATCAAATATTTTAAATGTATAAATTCTGTTAAGTTGTTTAAAGGAATTTGGATTGTAAATGAGTCTGTTTAAAGAAATTTAGTCTGTTCAATTTTAATGAACTCTATCAAACATCGCTTAAAGGTGCCCTTCAAAGTGATTATTAAAATGTACAGATTTCTAAATGGAATGTTTGTAAGTTAGACATACAAGCTTAAGGAAAGCTTTAAAATCCTTTGACAAGTAACCCAATTGACTTTCCTGTGTACAAAATGCTTTTTCAGATGCTGAAAAGTACTCTGATTTATAAGTAGGCTACGTGCCTGTTCTCCTAGGCCATAGTTGACTGGACCATGGGTGGTATACCTGACATAAACAGGGAGTTTTAACTGATATTTGTAATAAAATTCTTGATCTGGGAAAATGTGGGAGGCTACAAATGCTGTCCTTGTTCCAGCTGCTCATCTTCATCTAAGGGAATGCTCTCTACCTCTGCAGCGCCGCACCCCTCACCAGTATTTGTTTCTAAGATGTATTCCCTGAATAGGGCACTTCTTATTCCACAGGATACTTAATTACTGTATAGAGAGGGAATACTGTTTTCTCACTCTGCACACAGCAGAACTGAGGTGACACAAAGTTTAAGTGGCTGGTCCAAATTCATCCTGTTGGTTAGTGACAGATTGTGGATTTGAACTCAGGAAGTCTGGTTCAAGCATATATTCCCAATCACTACAGGAATAACATATTCTAGAAATGTGAAAATACACCCTTACTAATCTTTGTATTCTTGACTTAGTCTAGTATACATAGTTGGTGTGTAGTAAATGTGTGCAGAATGAATGAGTAGAATGAATGTGTATTGGTTCCAGCTTGGCAATTGACATGAAAACAGCAGCTTGGTTACTCTATATAAGATGAAGTGGTTATATAATCGTTTTTCTGAGAGCTACAAATCAAAATGTTTTCTGGAAACTCACTGCCCATTGAGAATTTGGGTGAAATTGAACCATGTAGTGGGTCCTTATCTTAGCTCACTGTTAGTCCACCAGGTGGCAGTATTATTTTGAAAACCATGAGAAATGGTCTTTCCCTCATCCTTTTCCTAAATCAGTTTGCTGTTACTGAGTAGTGTGAGTTCTTTTAGAAAATAACCAAGATACTCAGTTATTATTATGTGACCAGTTAAAAAGCCATCTATAATAAGTGTGAATTAGAAATATGGAAATTAAATTACTCAAAGTCCTCTGAATTAAAGATTGAACTTTCCAATAATGTAGAATAATAGAACACGAACTTGAACAGATAGATCCCTGATACCTTGGGCTGAGAACATGATCTTGGGTAGATCCATGATACATTGGGCTGAGGTTTCCATATTTGTCATGAATGGGGTTAATATCACCTCACTTGCTTAGGTTGATGCAAATAAATGATTAGGTGAGATAGAAAGTGTTCTCCTGTCATGTGTTTTCATGTTTGATTATGGTGAGTCCACTTACCCTTTATCAATTGTGAGCTTTTTCTTAGCTTCTTGATTACTGACATTCAAATCACTTTGGTAAGAGTTGAGTTGAAGTTTTACACTGTTATAAAGGATGTTTTCTAAATAATTACATAAGCTTTGTACTGAAGAGTATAACTGATTGTCAGGCCTACAAGCATTTTGAAAGCAGATGATAGGATATGATGTTACAAATAAGACATTATCCACTTGTTCATAAACTGTTAGTTGAAAGTAAAATATTAGTTGGTGTTGAGTCTTTAGTGTCATAGTGAAAGATTTAAATGGTAAATGTCTTTAGACATTTATTAATGCACACTTCATTCAAATTAAGTATTAGTTGGGACTCTTACAACTTTACTGAGAAAAGGTTAAAAATATAAACTAGGTTAATTTAATGAAGGTTGACAATTTTCTATAAAACGTTACTATAAAACTGAGTTCATAAAAGATATATTCTTGACAAAGTGCTCACAGTTTTTTTTCTTGAATGCACCAGTCAAAAGGCAATTTCCGGGCCTCCCCTGGTGGCACAGCGGTTGAGCGCTGGGCTGTGAAGCTGCCCGCAGCCTCTGCGGTGCCGGTTCGATGCCCAGCCACTGGCGAGGGTCCCACATGGAGCAGCAGACCTCTCCTGTCTCATCCTCTGCTCCCCTCAGCAGTGTATTTCGTCAGGCTGTCTGTTCTGTTCCCTGCTCTGGCTCTGGTGAATTCTCTCACCCTCCCGCACTTCTGATTGTACCCAGTACTTGTTTAAATAAATAAATAAATCTTTTAAAAAAAAAAAGTCTTTGCTTTAAAAAAAAAAGCAACTTCCTCTTTTTTTGTATTTTCTTTTGAAATTTTGAAATTTGAAATATTTTTGTATTTTATATTGAAATTTATTAACAGCAGCAAATACGAATTTCTAAGAGATTACTGTGTTTATAGCCATTATTTTCTACCATAAAATCATTACCCAAATGTAAACATAACCTAGTGGTTTTAATTACTTAATTTGCAGAAAACTCTAGATAAACTGGTTATCTTTGTAAATAAAGTATTGTCTCATTGCTATAAGCAGGTCATGCAATCAATTATAAATTTCTCAGGAACCGGACAAGGAGTTCATTTGAAAGTCAGAACACTAATAATAATAAGCTGTAATATCAATAGTTCAAACAGCAACATGGATTATTTTATTTTTGGATTTCTTTTTTTTTTTTAAAAGATTTATTTTATTTGTACAAGAACCGGGATACAAGCCAGATGCGTGGTGAGAGGATGCACCAGAGACAGAGCAGGGAACAGAACAGGCAGACTGATGAAATTCACTGCTGAGGTGAGACAGGAGAGGTCTGCCGTGCCAAGTGGGTTGCTCCAAGGCCGGCAAGGATCAACCAGCACTGCAGAGGCTGTGGATAGCTTCACAGTGCTGCGCTCAACCGCCCGCGCCACCAGGGAGGCCCTATTTTTGGATTTCTTAACAGTATGGTATGTGAGAGTATGAATCTCCTGTGTCCATCCTGGAAAAATGAGTGATTACAAGACTTAAAATTTGAGTGCTGACTCACTTACATAGGTGACATAAGGTTGAATGAGTAAGAAGTGAGCAGTGAGCACAGGACCTTGTATACCTTAAGTGGCACCTGCACACAGGAGGGGTAAACAAATGTTTGCTGCTTAAAATCTGAATTCTGTAGCGGCAAATATGAGCTGAGATGTTGGTGATCAGGGCTGCCAGATTGGGAACTACAGAGAAATGGAAGTTTTGAGGACAGAGACTTTAAAACCATGGGGCTTTATTTTATTTATTTGAAATTAGTTTAGACTTACAGAAAAGTGCAGCTTCCCCCAGCTTCTGCTAATGTGAACAAGGCACATAATCATAGTGCAAGCTATCAAACCCAGGGAATTCATTTGATGTAATGAAAATATACCAATTTCGGGCCTCCCCTGGTGGCGCAGGCGGTTGAGCTCAGCTCTGTGAAGCTGTCCACAGCCTCTGTAGCGCTGGTTCTATCCGGCCGGCCTGCGAGAGTCCCACGTGGTGCAGCAGACCTCTCCTGTCTCACCCGCAGCTCCCCTCAGCAGTGTATTTCAGTTGGTCGGCCTGTTCTGCTCCCCACTCTGTCTCTGGCGAATCCTCTCACTCTCCAGCGAATCTGGCCTGTACCCCTGTTCTTGTATTAATAAATAAATAATTAATTTAAAAAAAATCTTAAAAAAAAAAAGAAAATATACCAATTTCTCTAGTTTTCTCCCTGAAGTCTTTCCTGCTCCGGGTTTCAACCCAGGATCCTCCAGTCTATTTAGCTGTGTTCTCTAAGCCCCTCTAACCTGTAATGATTCCTTAGACTTTCCTTGTCTTTCATGACCTTGAAACTTTTATGAATATTGGTCAGTTATTTTGTAGAAT